TAACCATTTAGTTACTTTAATTTTAACAGTGTTTATTTGCAGTAACGAGAAAAACAGTTCTAATTGAAGAACATTCTAATTATTCTGTGTCTAATGTTCCATTTGTCCCTCATATCCTCAGTGTCTTCTAAGAAAAGATAATCCTTGCCTGGAGGAAACTGGTACAGAGAGTTAATGTTGAAAGTCTGCCTATATGTCCAACAGGGGCTACCATCTTGAGTAAATTGCCTAGATGATTCAATTTAAAAGATCAGTTGTTTAGGCTGTTATGTAAATTGACACTGAGACATTTAGCTATAACAAGTGAACCAGACCCACAAAACTAGTCAAAAACCTGTAATTGCTTTTCAGCCTTTTGGCTAAGATCAAGTATAAAAACTTGTACATGCCACAACCAATATTTCTCACAAACATTTCTAAGAAGATTGAAGTTAGAATCTATTCATATGATCTCAAATTATCGTAGAATTTCTGTATGTTATTTGTGTCAAATAATTAAAGTACTTGATTGCATACCAGAATTTTTTCATTTATAAGACTATTCTCTTCTAAAGTATGAATGACTTTAAGGGCAACTTAATTCTGTATTTTGTCATTCCAAAACTAAACAGAACATTCTACGGCCATAATAATTGCACGCACACGTGCGTGCATGTGTGTGTGTGTGTGTGTGTGTGATTTTTAGGAAGAGTCTCACTGTGTAGTTCAAGATGGCTTTGATCTCACTATGTAGCCATAGATGGTGTTTACCTCATTACAATCCTCTTGCCTCAGTCTCTTGAGTGAACAAATTACAGGCCTAGGGCACCATATACAGTTTATGATATTTTTTTCTACTGGATAGTTAGCTGGTATCTCAAGGATTTGAGTTCCCTTCCTGCAAGTCTATAAAATAAAGCTCTGGGGGCTGGCATGTGGCTCAGTGGTAGAGCACTTGTCTATAGTGCACATGCCCTAGGTTCAATCCCAGCACCTCTGGATGAATGAGTGAATAAATGAATGAATGAATGAGTGAATGAATGAAACAAAATAATACTTGCTTATACAACTAATTTATCCACAACTAAAATATATTAAGAATTTTAAGAAGAAGAGGTGACAATAATATAGGCACTTTTTAATGCTGCCTCCCCTGACCTCACAGAGATCTAGACAGGGTTGGAACCATAACAGAGAGCATGCAACTGTTATCATAAGTGTTATTTCATATCTGAAATATAAATTCACTGAGCCAAACTGCCAGCCCTCTTGTGTTCATCTATATTTCCACACACTAATGGATTGATTTTAAATAAGTGCTTAACACTGTCTGCTGCTGTCTTAGAAACAATGGTAAAGTATTGATCTAACAAATTGAATTGTTAAAACACCTCTCCCAATTATTTTTCCAGCTCTCTCAAACAAATATAACCCCTTAAAAACAAATATGAAACTTTGTGGTATGGTTCATTTGCATAAAATAAGTAGATAACAAATAAATTCTAATAGCATGAAACTATATAAATTGCAACACCAAATCTTGAAATAGTGTGAAGGGAAGACACAATCATCATTTTAACTCACATGGTTCTACCAGATCTTAGTTTGGTCAGCATTTTAAAAGTATTTCCACATTTTATGCTTTCATTTTTTCAGAACAGTGTCAGTATATAGAACATGGATTACCCAGTAAGATCTTTGCTGTTATTTTATACATAGAAAATAGTAAGCATATCAATCTAGGTTATTTTTCAAGGTGTATTTCATATATTTTTCTTTTTATTCCTCCAATACAAGATCTTATGGGGAGAAAAATAACTTAGTATCTTGATGATGGAAGGAAAATGGATGTCAGTAACATTCCAGGAAGTATCACCTTTAAAAGAGACTACCTTATTCAGAAATCTGTTAACACTGGTGTCTGTTGTGCTGACTCAGTGAGGTCAGAGTCTGTGGATTAGTAATGCAGTTTGAAAACTCATCCCATTCCAGATCCCTGGGCTTCAGCACTGTTTGGTGTGTCATTAAATAAATACACCTTGTTTTAGCATGGATAGACATACTATTAGTGGATTCCATTCACAATTAGGCTATATTCACTGAATTTATAACCTTGAGTTTCCTTGAGGTCCTCTTTGAGGGTTTATTAATTATCATGGAGGGGGAAAGGATTAAAATCCTTCAGTAAGCAAGCATAGATGAAGATGATTTAAATTCTCATTTAATTAAAAGGATGTCTAATTCAAAAATTGCTTTAAAATAGGCTCTATATAGGCACTCAAGTATTTAAAATTTATTTCTATGAAATCTGAGATTGCAGATTTGTACATCTACTACTTGCATGGCAGGAGGGTAAATTCCCCCTGATAATCTAGTCCTTTTGTTTTTATCTGATAGTGGATTAAGTCATTTTATAAAATTAGATTATGCTTGTCACATCATGTTAATCCTTTATTTAGCATTTACTGTGTACCTAGTAATGATTTGGTGGTCAAAGAGCCTTAGAAATATACATAGAATGCAAATTCAACAATGGTGAATTCATCTTCTAATAATCTCAACTGGATAAATTAAAATCTTTTTTCAATTTCAGAGGAACTTTTCTGATGACTCTTTTATTTACAAATTCTCACTTATCGGTTTTATTTTTGAAATTTAAAATCGTTGTAGAAGTAACCTAAGTAAATATAACTACAAAATTAAAACAGAGGGAGAAGCGGAGGGAGGGAAGGGGGAGAGAGGCAACCAAAGAAACGAGGTTCTGAAAAAGCCTTCATACATATAGATGTATATTCGTATACATATACAATGCACATGTAAATATATATAGGTGTGTATTCATAGGAAATTGAAAACATAATAGTCCATTTCTTCCTGTTTTCCTTCTGGAATGGAAGAGGTAAGTTATCCAGAGTTTAAAAGGTGGAGAAGATTTTGATACAATGTTCCACAGAATAAGAGTGAGAAGAAAACTCAAAAAATGACCAGGCAGTGAGAGAATGTGGTTGAAGATAAAGAGCAGACATTAAAGTGTCACCACTGTGGAACTAGCGTTGTCTTCATCTCGGGTCATAAGTCCTGCTTTAAGCGCGAAAAAGCCAGTTGAACAGGCTGCTGGACTGGCCAAGGTCTCGGGTTTTGCAAATCCGGCTTGAAGGAAGGGCACTGAACAAGATAGTCACTATATAGGCAGTAGTTACAGAGCAAGAGTTGCTAGAATAATTAGGGAAAGAATTTAATATCCATAAGCAAAGATGTGACTGTGATTGGAAAAAATGGAGTCATTTTTATACATGAAATTCAAAGTGCAAGAGGAAAAATAAAGAGAAGGTTCTCAGCCTTGAAAGTATGATGGAATCACCTGGAGAGTTCTAAAAATTGACAGCATCTGGATGCTATTCCTTGAGCTTCTGGTTGAATTGTCCTCTATTCTGTCTTGGCAATAAAGTTATATGGCAATAAATTTATATGCCAAGAATGAAAAGCATTATTTAGACTGTACCTGTCATGGAATTTGCTTGTTTTTTGTTTGATTTTCATTATCTTGCTATGGTGGGTTGGTGTTTTGTTTTCAAGTCAATGAAGCATAATCAAAGATTGAAAGAGAAAAGTAATATGAGTTTTCATTGATTTTGAAAAGTAGCTTTTGCCTCAGAATGGTTAACAGGTGCCAAAAGAGAATAATTCAGGGAAAAGCAACTGAGTAGAGAGAATTTTGCATTGTTCTGGGCCGGCAGTGAAATCTTGAATGAGGGACTGGCAAATGAATTGCAGATTCAAGGCCATATTTGTGAATTTTAACATAAGAATTTATGACATGTATAGTTGATATGTAAATTAATGGAAGAAAGCCCAAAATAATATACCTTTTCTTGGCATGTCACAGCGTGGCTGCTCACTTCTTCATGGTCTTCACCGCTACAAGAAAAAGTCTACTTCATCTTTCAAGATATTACACTTGATTAAGTCAGGCACACCCTGGATAATTTCCCTTTTGATTAACTCCTATTGATCACCTTATTTGCCACATTAATTACATCTCTAAATTCCCCTCGTATTTGCCATGCAGCATAAGCTAATTATAGGAATGACATCTGATCACAGTTCCTGCCGACACTCAAAGGTAGAGGATTCAGATGATATCACTGTTAATTGAGATAAGGAATACAAGAGAATTAGAATATTTTAGGAGGAAATTGATGACATCAGCTTTAGACCTGATGAAGTTGGCGTAATTGGGCATCTAATTGCAGTGTCTCAGTAGGAAATGTAGGATTTTGTAGAAAGATCATCATGGGGCATGCATATTTGGTAATGTTCATTAGAGGTGACACTTAAAGCAATGAGATCACTCAGAAAAGAACTGTAGCAACACGTGGGCTGAAGACAGGAATAAAGCTAGAATTTCTGAAGCTATCCTTTCACTCATATCTCTTAATTCCAAGGCAATAATCCTTGATCCCATGACACAACTTTTTACCATTCCTCTACATTCTTTCAAAAATGTCCTGCTTTTCCTATTTGTGGTCTGCTCTTTGTCCTTTGGATGACCAACTCGTACTATCTGGAAGTGAGGATCCGCATCTATATTAGCAGCAGGCTTGCAGATCATAGGCCTAAGAAAGGTTGGTCGTGTTGTTCTCCATGTTCAAGATGGTGGCTTGCAGGAATTGTGGAATGGATGTACCATGCTCAGTGAGTGGAGATGGTCCCATTTCCAACACTAAACTGCTTGTGTCCTTCATACCAGAAACCAAAACTAGTTGAAAGCTTTCTTATTTCTTCTATCTCATCATTATTTGTGACCCAGATAAAATAAACAGAATTGTACAAGTTTGAACGCAGATGTAATCATATTTATCTGTCTCCTAATGCTTTGGTCTCTTTTTCTATGAAGAAAATGATTGGAGCCATTGTGGCAATAATTTCCAGAACTCTGAGCTATGAGAATGGAAATAAAACGTGAATCTGATTAGTATATTTTGATCTAATTTTCTTTTCTTAATTTTTTTTTCTTTCAGGTTATATTCAAGAAGAGTGTGTTGTGCCCTGCCCATTTGATTGCAAGTTAAGTGACTGGTCTAGTTGGGGATCTTGCAGTTCTTCTTGTGGGATTGGAGTGAGAATTCGATCCAAATGGTTAAAGGAAAAACCTTACAATGGAGGTCGACCGTGTCCCAAACTGGATCTCAAGAATCAGGTAAAGTGTATGAAACAACACATAAAAAGTTAAACACCATCTGCAGTGCTGTTTCTTGTGGAAATTGAAGTAATTTGTTTATTTGAGGCAGTTTTACAAGCTTGGAAGAAAGAGTAGGAAGGCAAACATCAAAATAATAGAGTTAGTTGTAGGAACTTTACCTACTGGTAGATAATGCCAAGACAAATTTGATGTCCTTAGGAATTTACAAAATTAAATCCAATTGATTTTTAAATGATCTTGAAGGCTCATTCAATATTAAAATGTTATATACATATAATATTATATGTATAAAACATCAGAGCAAAATCACACTACTTTTCGGCAATATAGTTAACCAGTTCCAAAGCTGGTGTTCTATTTTTCCTTTTTCTTACTCTTTATCTTAATAGTTTTCACTTTCAATCTCACCAGTTCTTCCACAATTCTCCAAGTTTCTTACAACATTTTCTCTGTTTCCCTAAAAGTCATGTCTATTCTCATGAATGAACCCCATTATACCTTTCCATATAGATGTCTAATAAAATTGCTGTCCTAAGAAAAGTTGATAAGGGTATTTCAATTGCTTTACCTATATATGACAGAGTCTAAGTTAAGAATTATTGTAAAGAACTCAAATTTCACCAACTTCATACTTAATACATTAGGACCAACATTCAGGTTTTTAAATCAGGTGAATGGGTGGAACACAAGATCAGGTTAGTTAAATGTTCTTTATTCTTAGAATGGATATGTACATCCTTTGTTACTAGGAAAATTTTAACAGAAAGCTGCCTGGCTTCTATCACTAATTCAATTATGCTAATATCTGTCCTTTTAACTTGATTTTGTTGTGATGCTCTATAGATTGTTAATGGAAGGAAAACTCCACACCTCTGTTTTCAATTTGAAGCACATGGTTAGCTAGTCTTGGTTGACTTTAAGTACCATGTGTCAATTTAAGACTAGCTATTTTCCCCTAAGTTATTGTAAAAGATACATAATTCATTGAAATGAAAAGTTATTCTAGTGGGAAATACTGAAGATCTAAGGGTATAGTTAATATGCCAGCTTTTTTAAAGGTTATATGCTAAAATAATGACCACAGTTTCTTCACTCAAAGATGCAAGCCTTTTGGGGAAAACAAAGCAAAGGACCATGAAATCAAAATAAAGATTTTAAAGAAACCTCATAAGCTGGGAGTTTAATGAAGAGAAAGAAGAAATATGATTAATGAATACAGGAGGGAAATACTCAGAGCTGAGGTGGTTGAGATAAGCCTTACAAAGAAAGAAAAAATATGATCAAGAAGACAGCATTTAGGTGCAAACTGTTTGACCAAGTATTTAAAATGGAAACGAATTACAAACCAGGAATATTTATGGTGATTCTAGTTACATCTTCCTCAAAACCATCACCAAGAGCTAAAACTTTTAAATAATGATTTTAGTATTTCAATTTTATTACTTAGGAAAGTACCTAAGAAACAAAAGGATTTCATCTGAGCACAAACAGGAGGACCATATTCTTAGTGTGTGGGGCAATTGTGTAGAACTAGGTGTGTAAAATTTGAGAGTAGGAAGAGTTTCATGGAATTTGTATGCCTGTTGTGACTTGGGAAGAAGAAACATGTTCTAAGCTCTTGACATATGACAGTTACAACTTTTAGAAGTATTACAGGTAGAAATTAAATCCAAACTCATGAATAATTTAGATAAATTCAATAAGTGAAACTTAAGTGATGGTTGGTCTGTCTGCAGGAGATATTTCTAACTTTTATGTTCAAGAAGGCAATTGTAGCCTTCTATAACTTTCTTTAATGCTCAGAAATGAGTCCTGGAATTTAATTATCAGAAATAGAATGTAGTATGACATTTATTGTGACATAAATAAGCTTCTGATATCTAGCATGTATTTGGCCTAATAAAAAGTTAATTTTAAAGTCATCCACATCCATATTTTATATATTTAGACAATGGATGTTTTACTGTGAACTGACAAACTGTAGTTATTTATATTTATTGGGTGGAAAATGATGTTAGGAATACAGTGTGAAGTAAGGAAATCGATATAATCATCATATGTATCACCTCAAACACTCTGCAATTTTAGTAGTGAGAATATTTCAAATTTACAGTGTACAACCTTGAGCTTTTTTTTTTTTTTTTCTGGTACCAGGAATTGAACTCACGATGTTCTTGTGCTTGCCGGGCAGGTGCTGTGCCGCTGAGCTAAATCCCCAGGCCCAGTGTACAACCTTTATTAGCTATATTACCATGCTCTGATAGAACTCGAGTTTTAAAAGACACCTAAATCTCCTGTTCAATTATACTTGGTACTTTTTGTCTCTCATCACTCTGTTACTTTTCCATCGATGGATAACTACCATTCCACTCTGTTTGTATAAGTTGATTATTTTAGGTTTTACACTCAAGTGAGAGCATGTAGTTCTTTGCCTTACTCTGCCTGGCATATTTCAGTTAACATTATTTTCCCCTATTCCATCAGTGTTATCCCGAGTGAGTGAGTTTATATCCCTTTCAAGGCCAAATAGGATCCTGTGTATGTATATTGCACATTTTCTTTATTCTTCAATCCACTGAGGGAAACTTAGGTTGATTCTAGATGTCGGCTCTGGTGACTACTGTTCAAGGAACGTGGACGTGCAGGCATCTTTTTGACATGCTAATCTCAGCTCTTTCTGAGAAAAACCCAGTAGTGGAATTGCTGGATTATTTGTTAATTCTGTTTTCAGTTTTTGGAGGTGCTTTGAAAATTTTTCCATAATTTGTTCTAATTTACATTCCCATGAACAATGCACAAGGATTGTTTTTTTTCTCTCTCAAACATACTTCAAGTAAGCTAGTTGAACAGGGCAGTGAGCAATGTGCTATACGCCCTGTGTCTCACATGTCTGTGAAGGGCAAAGGACTGATGGGTGTTCTTCAGATGTTCCAGCATGGTCCTTTTCTGGGCAAAGAGCAGAGGACAAGATGGGCACTTAAAGACACTGACGTGCTGGGATTGCAGGTGCGGGTCAAAGCGTGAGGAGAGGAAGGGTTCGCAAGAGAAGACTGTGTCACACATGGAGCACTTGTAGATGAGCTTGGCTTGCTGCATGAGGAAGGTCAGACGCTGGGAGTACAGATGGGTGTGGGCACTGGGTGCAGACTTGAAAGCCACGGGGCAGATGGGGCACTCGTGAAAAATCCTAAATATAAAAGAAATCTCCCAGGACTAATTCCTTTTCTAGACAAGCACAATTATCCCATAGGTATATTTGTCCTTATTTAGGGAATTTTCTTTGCATGTGTGCATATGTGTGTGTGTGTGTCATACTGTGCATAGAGATTTGTTAGACCTAATTTCTTTTTCTTTTTTTTTTTTTTTTTTTTTTTTTTTGGTTTTTCTCCAGTACCGGGAACCGAACTCAAGACCTTACGCTTGCCAGGCAGGTGCTTTGCCGCTGAGCTAAATCCCCAGCCCCTGTTAGACCTAATTTATATTTTTCATTTACCTGACAATAAATTGAGTTGTCATGGATTTTCATTATTTAGGAAATACTCCTAAACATCTATTATTTATGGCAATTCTTTTTAGAAGGGATCTCTGTTTTTGTAAACTACAAATGAGGTGTAGGGAGGCTTTCTGTAAAGTTTAGTCTTACTACTTCATCTAGGTTATTCATCTTTTTTCAGGTTGGTGCCGAAGTTTCAATTTATTTTCATATTTTCCATGTAAGATTCCCGCCTAACCAAAAATAAGACAAAGCTTTTGATTAAACTATTAAAGAGAATAAAAAATAATTTCAAAATATTAGAAATGATACAGAGCTTCACTAAACAAGATGGTAGGAATTCACCAAAGATTGTTATATTGCATATTGTTGTCTTCAAATTAGTTATTCAGATTACAAAATATAAGCATGCAAAATTGGTCAAAAATTTAAGCATTAACTGTTCCTTTCAATAAACCATTAGACATCAGCAGTACAGTTATCCCAGCTGTCCTTTATATGTGGTAATCTGAGTAACTTTGTTGAAGATAACAATATATAATATAAGGACCACTGTTAATTCCTATCATTCTGTTTTGAAATCATGCACATTTTTATGGTTTTGCTTTGTTTTGTTTTTGTTTTGTTGTTTTGTTTTTTATTCTCTTTAAAATAAAAAAAGACAACGTTTTTGAAAAGTAACCAAATTATAGCTGTAAGAAAGGTATGTACTGTTTAGTACTTAGACTTAAGGTAAACACATTATTTGTCAAGTTAAGCCTGACATACCGTTCATAGAAATGAGCTTTACCCTTGTGTGTTTCTATGTGAATGTTAGTATACCTGCATATACATATTCATTTTCCTCCTTGGATTTTCTTTAGAATATGAGCTCCTTTAAAGGGTATGAGCTGTCTTCTATGCTGTCAACTCATTCTGTCTCCTAGTGTACTAGCGGGTTGTCAATTTAATATTCATTGGATACGTAATTTGAAAAGTAGCCTTTTCTGTGGATGAGTGGATGTTTAGCTCCATACGAATAATCACGTACGTTAAAACTTGGGTCTTTATGCTATGATTTGCCATTTGCTTTTTCAAAAGCATCAGCTCTTCTAGAAGAAAGAAGTAACTATCTGTAAAATCTTATTGTCCAAAAAGTCTTTTTGAGATTTTCCTGAAAAATCTTCAGCATGTAGAGTCCCACTGAAATCTAACCCAATGAATAAATGGGAAGCTTGATTTCATATACACAAGTTTGTAAACTGTTCTGAATCTGTTAGTGAAATCAATATTTATATTCTGTCATAAAAACCTCCTTTCAGACCAAAGGAACCTATCAAGCCAATAGCTCTTTCTCTTGAAGTGCCTAAGTGACAGGCATCCTTGAGTAGCTTTCTACTAAATATATTTGTGATGCTCAATAGTTGGAGGATGCAGCTTGTCCAAAGCTCTTATCTAGACATAAACGACTTCTACATAGTTTATTGCATTATCATATCAGTTTGCTGATGCCCTTGACTTTACT